TGATGTGAGCAGCTGCCAGCTTTCTGTCTCCAGCGTTGTCTGAAATAGATCTTTTTCTTTCCCAGCTCCTGAAGCTAACAGTGTTTGGCACAGTACCAAGATGATCCCAGATAAAGATATTTTATGAGATGGTGCAGACGAGTGCTCTCCAGTGTGCAGCCCCAGTTAGATCTCGAGTTCTCCTTTGTCTGGGCAACTTGTCCATCACGAATTTACGCAGTTTTCTTCATGACTACTTGAGTACTCATTTAAACATGACTTGTCTTTTTAAACATGACTCCTTTAGAACAAGTAAGAATGAACACTTTTAATCTTAACATGTACATTTAGGCTGCACTTGTCAGTTGGGGTACAGTGAGTGAATAACTTGTCATTACAAGATCCTGACTGTTCCTACAGCTGCACAACCACCTACCGAGCGCTCTCCCTCAGCAGACAGTGATCATCCCTCGCAAAACCATCAAAATGAAGTGTGTTGATTGGTACATGAGAGTCGCATGCTTCCTGCTGTTACAGTATGTTGCAGGATGACAGAGATACCCTGGAAGGGGACCGACTCGGGAGCAGAGGAGACACAGAAGTAGGTCAGCTCCTAGGCGTTTGTTCCGTCGTACATATTCATAAACAGTACCCAGTTGTTGCAGAGTGAACTCACTTCACACAGACTGTTTATTCTGCTCACTGGGCCCATTTAAATGTTAACTAGTGATTACATGTCATTGTGGTAATATGACCAGTTGACTCTGCCTGCTGCATTTATAATTTTTTCAGAATAGTTTACTATTATAATCACATATTAACACCTCACCATCTTAATAAGTCATGTACTTAACTGGGTTTAAAACTGTCCTGAATCAAAAATTAAGCTAAAGCTGAAAAAAACAGGACAATACATAACTGAAAGCGATGGTGTAACACGTTTAAAAATTCTCTTGCTTTCTTTCTGAATGTTAGATGAAGTGATTGATGCCACACCCATTTAATGTAAAGCTAGTTAGCTGAGCCTAACATAAAGACTGGCAGCCTGGGCAAACAGTTAGACTGGCTGTGTAAAAAGGCTGGTTTGTGTTAAAGTGTAATGTGCCAGGATATGTCTCAGCCAGGAGCGGTGACTCCTGGAAGTCCCTGCCTCTGGCTAGTATATTGTTAAGCACATGGCACCCTGTTAAACCACAGTGTGTCGTCTTTTGCCCTTTGATTTGGTGTAGGTTATATGAATGGTAAAGTGTTCAGTGTAGTGAGCTTTAGAGGTGTTTGTAGTCATTTTTGTTACTTTGGGACAGACCTAAGCTACTGTAGCTGTTTTCCCCAGTTTTCAGTACTTTTGCTAAGCTAAGCTGACCAGCTGGTGGCTGTAACTTCAAATTAAATGTATAGATGTGACAGTGGTAGATAATGAGTAAGCATGTTTTTCAAAAGGCCAAACTATTCCTTTAGGTTTTGTAGATTTTGTGAACAAAATAATCTTGCATCAGCCATTTCTATTTTATATCTTGTATAGTTTTACATGACAGCAGCTGTGCACTGAATGGACCCATTCTTAAATTCAGTACAGCCTTGGTGCTGCGCGTGTTCTTCAGCCGCAGTGGATAAAAGAAGAGTTACAGGAGACAGTGGGAGAATAAATACAAACTGAGTCAGTCGCAGGGCTGTGAATTACACTGATAGTTCAAAACATGATGCTGTCTCTGCCAGCTCCTGTTATTCAGTCAGCCCTAATACAGTCAGACACTTCAACACAATCTGACCCCTGCTAAACTCGCAGCAGTGTGTGCTATAATTCAGAATTATTTGTGAGATTTAGACAGATAGAGAGAAACAGAAGGAAATGGAAGCATCACCCTGTATTCCAATTAAATGTGTAATGTCTAATCTTTCAATATGTTGCATTTAAAATTATAAATGCAAACATTCTTTTTTTTTAAACACCTTTTATTATCTTTGTAGAGTTAATTTTTAATAACAGCTTGTTTTAAGTAAAAAAAGAATAATTTACACCTCTGGGCCATCGTGTTTGATGCCAGCAGGTGGCTATTAATGTTATCTCCCCTGATGACAGTATCTGAAAAGCCTTTTGTTCACTGTTACCACTTGCCATAAACATTTCATTACAGGAATCCTCAACCTATATTTTAGCCCTCCCCACTCTGCAGTCATTACAGCTTCATCAGTCGAGGAGAGAAACTGTGGGAAATGGAGAAAAAGAAGCTGGAGGTGAGGGTGAGAGGAAAACTCTGAGGAGCTCATGGTGAAAATACTGAAGGCAAGGAAAATGTTGAATCAAAATGAAAAGATTCAAGGGGATAAATGGCGGTGAATAAAAGAGGTGATGAAGGAAAGTGAATAAGGACCAGCGTAGAAGCTTGAGCGCACTGCCAGTCTTTATTTTAAAGAGCAGGGTTTTACAGACAATGATGCAAACTCCTACATGTGCCTGTAGTTGACATAATCTCACTAAAGGTGTCTGTTCCTTCTGTGAGTGTACGGTTCAAAGGTGACCTCACTGCTTTGCCTTTGTTTTGTTAAGCATGGCTGCGGCGCACAATGCAGCGACTGCCAGGTTTCTTTTCTTAGAGCTGCAGAGAAATCGTGTTTCTTATTGATCTATTTGAATGTAAACAGAGCATCTCCAGTCTCCAGCTCAAGGCATGTATGCACAGGAGATTTCTGCCAGAAGACGGCGTATACTACACAGTGGGTCCCTCCTCTTCTATTTTTGTAAACAGCCTCTGTGATATAACAACCCTCTTGATAGCGCCTAGTGCTAAAAGCGAAGTACCGTACACATCCTCCAGAGGAAAATGTCACCCACAGGTCAATTCTTCTTCAACTTGAAGTCATTTGTCCTACATTTGTTATATTACTATCTGTTAAATGTAGAAAAACTGTTTTAGAAGTGAGACATTACAATATGCTGATTAGGTTTCATTTGCACACTAACAAAAGATGTAGCACGCGTACATAGAAAACAGACTCATCATTGTTAATTTATGTTTGCTGTAAAGCCATGACATCCATTGACTGTGAGACCGATAATCTACTTCCTGCAGTCCTTAGACCCATAAGCTCTTTTCGGTGTCCTGTACGTCGGTCTCAGGTTATATTGGCCTGATTGGTGCAGAGGCTTTACTCGCACTGTGTTCTCTGCTCTGGGTGCTTCTCTACGCCTGGCTGCTCTCACTATCTTCCCTCTCTCTCCTCAGCTCCACCATTCTCTCCATATACGACCAGGCTGCTGCAAGGGGTCAAATGTCAGCCACTTGGGATTCTGCATCTCCTTTTGTCATTGCTGAGCCTGATGATTGGTGTGTGTGTGTGTGTGAGAGAGAGAGAAACAGGGCAAGAGAGGAAATTTAAGAGTGTGCAACCCAGGGCTGGAGAGAATGTGTACGTGTGTGTATAACTCTGGTTTTCTAAAGGGGTTTGAGGGGATCGGGGGTGGGTTAGGGACATTTCTCCCTTCTTGGTGCTATAAAAATAGCCATTACAGCACTGAAGATCACAGTTTGCCTCTTGGACACACCATATCTGTAATAGGTTCGGCAAGAAATAGGGACTGGGGGATGTGTGTGGGGTGTCTTTATGGGCAACCAGCTGAGACCTCATGCAAAGAACATGCTAATTGGTATTCAGACCAGGGCTGTGACAGTTTCCTACACAGTCTGTACCACATACACATTCCTTTCTGTTGCCACGGCGCCAGGCCCCAATGAGACTTTCCTCGACGACCTGTCCACTTCCAGAAACACAGAGTAAATCCTGAGGTCCAGCTGCACTAGACAATTAAACTGGAGTTTTTCAGTTTCCCTTCACTTCTGTTCTCTGCTGTTCTCTTTATCTTCATGTTTTCAGCCCATATCTTCATGTTTGACTTAATGGGATGTCACTGGTAATGAGGTGGGGTGCACTTATACACACATTGCATGTAGGTGCGAGGATATTGATAAGTGGTCAGAAACACGATGACCTGTGTCTGCCAGATGTGTAAATAGGCAACTTTTGGTGGATGTGTTCGGATGGATGTCAGCATTGTGTTTACAACTTCTTCCACCGTCCAACAACTGTTTTGTCATAATTTAATGTCAGTGATTGATTAATTCAGTTAATCAACTAATCATTTCAAAACTAATACCAGCAGTTCATCTATTTTATCTAGTATAACTCATATTGAATTATTTTACTGTACAATGCTGATGAGTGATATATTTGTATATATACTGTAGATGCTTCCTCGTGTTTTATTGTATTTTATTATCTTCTTATAGTATACTGTAGCATTGTTTTATTCTTCTGCGCTTGATTGATTCTATACTATTAGCTACCCGGGGGTTTATTGTGACTTGTATTTTATTTTTATATGTATTCTGCGACTACAGATGGAAATTAGTCTTTACTTTCACTTACAGTTCCTTTATGGGCGGCACAGCGGCAGTGGTTAGCGCTCTTGCCTCACAGCAAGAAGGTTCCATGTTCGATCCTGGGCCAGCCTTGGGCCTTTCTCTGTGGAGTTTACATGTTCTCCCTGTGCCTGTGTGGGTTCTCTCCAGTTACTCCGGCTTCCTCCTACAGTCCAAAAACATGCAGCTTTGGTTGATTGGAGACTAAATTGCCCATAGGAGTGAGTGTGTGTGGTTGTTTGTCTACATGTCAGACCTGTGACAGACTGGCGACCTGTCCAGGATGTGCCCCTCCTCTCACCCAGTGGCAGCTGGGATTGGCTCCAGCCTTTCAAACATGGAACAAACTAGAGAGACAAACATGTTATTGCTGTGGCCACCTCTGCTGCTCTCAGACTCCCTCTGACTTTTTTCTCTAATAAGCCTGTGGACCTTTCAGCAGTTACCACACCTGGAAATATCATTTTTCTGTTTACCTGCAGCCTTGCTCCTTTCCCAGCCCGAGATATAACAGCCTATCATAGCTCCCACTGTGTGGCAGCGTGCAGCTGAGAGATGCAACAAACAGCATTGTTAATTTGTCTCACCTTTGGTTTTGTCTAGATGCAGAGTGGGAGACTACCAATCTGAAGAAAGTAGAAGAAGCTTATCAGACGGTCAATATGGAGATAAGGTAAGGGAAAGATAACGAAGAAACTGAAGGAGAGGATAGCTTCCATTGTCACATACAGTATTTGTGACATTTTGCACTTCTCACACTGCTACTGTAAGCAGGGTTGCATGGTCTTAAAATAGACTTCATCTATCTGTGGTGAAAGGAAAGCTGCACAGTAATAAATTTACACTGTCTGTTACCTAAGGCTTATTTTAATGAAGAAAAACTAATGCTATTGATTGCCTACTGTGCTCTGGTGGGAAGGCCTCTTCCTGCTTTCTTTGAGCTTGAGTTCTTCCATTATGTCTTAAAATAATATGTTTGTAATTAATTCCTAATATTACAGTTTACAGTCAACATGCTTCTAACAGCTGAGAGGGGAAAAATGCCTGAGCAGATTTGGATGAGAGTTCCTGTTGCTTTTCCTTTGCTCCCTCTCAGATGTTTTCACAGAGCTCTGAGCTAGCCAGCAATAGCTGATAAGTAGCTGCTGTGGCCCTTAAGGCCTGCAAACTGTTCATTACAGTAGTGAGAGAGGAGCACAGTGATGGCAGTTACCGAAAGGTCAAGATTTTACCCCCTAAACAAATGCCTGAATGAGGGGAAAAGAGAGAAAAGGAGCTGACATTTGTGCTATTTCTTCATTGTCCACCTTGCCTCTCGCTTCTGGTCAAATTACTCAGCATCATCGGTGTGTGTTGGAGCTCTGGCTATGGGTTTTCTCCCCCATGTTCTCTTCAGGCCATGTCCTTTATTAATTTGTAGGTTGTACTATGTCTGCGCATTTGTGTTTTTATACCTTTTGGAACTAGCATGAAATTTATTAGGTTATAGCTATATATAGTTTTTTTTTTTTTTTAGCTTGAGGTAAATGTCAGATTCTAGAAAAACTGACTGTGCATGAGTGTTATGACCTTTGCCCTACTGAGAATCACATGTGCACACACAGTTATGCAGTCTGCCTTTGCTTTTGTGACCACAAATCATCCCTTACACCCTCCTAGCTTATCACCCTCACCCTCCCTAAACATTTGTTAACCCCATTAGCTATGCTGGGTTATGAATATGGAAATAAGGGCCTGTACACCATTTGCGATTAGCAAAGAAAAGCAGTCCTCACCAGCACAGATAATTGGAGACACTGCATAGAAATGGGCTTTAAAGAGCCACCTCATCAGCACACTAGCCAAGAAGTCAGTCACTAAAGTAGCGAGGAAAATAAAGCCACACCGTCAGCACACTTAGGAGTCATCCAGAAGTTAGTAAAGCAGCTTGTCAAGGACAACAAATGAAGCGCAGCCTGGACATTAAAGCATTTGTGCTGTTTTGCAGATTTTGTACTAAAACTATGAAATAAATTAAGTTTAGATACTTTAAAGGAAGAGGTTTTATTAATTGTATTCTGTGGTGTCATATAAATAATAGCCCAACTCCATAATTCAGATAACTACCTTGGTTTAACGTGTGTTTGCCATCTAATTTATAGTATTTATTTTGGCTTCCGCAGCGATCTCCAGAAGAAGCTGGCCATTGACTACGGAACAGATTGGGAGTTTCTGTTTTTGAGCAGCCAGTGTTACAAGCTGAAAGTATATGAGTAAGTACTGATGACTTTTTTTGGTTTATATGCCTATTTTAGTCTGGTATTAATATGGAAACTAGCACTTGACATGTGAGGTTGTGTACAGAAATACACTTTCATTATCATAATTTCTTTCAGAAATTACACACTAACAGAAAACATTTTCATGGTTTTGATAATTGAATTGAATGTAATTTTTTTTGTAGCTCTTAATATTTGCTTTCAATAATGAACGATGTTGAAAGCACTTAACTTGTGCAGAACACATGCACTGTAGGTAGCATGAACCCCAGTTAGAAAAGTAAAATGGTTTTAAAGAAGTATCACTAAATCAATATATTAACCGGAGGCTGCAGTCCAACTGTACTAAAACAAATGCTTTCTGTAGCAAATGTGAACCATCTCAGTAAAGACCCACCATTTAAAGTTGATAATTTGTGAGCTCCGAGTCACCCTGGAGAAGCCAAGCAGCTAAACCAACTAAATTTAATCAACAGAATGAGCTTCTTTTACTCTCTCCTGCTGCATCCCTATGGTCCCTGCTGGGGTAGAATCTGTTCTCCTCAGGATTGCATGCCAGCTGGAGCTTTAGAAGCCTGTGGGTGGTTGCAGTTTTGAAAGAAAATGATCTGAGATCTGCACTGCAAATTCTTTTTTCAGACATCCTTGGATTCGGTGGTTTTCCCATGACCTTATACAGTATAGCAGTGTGATTTGTTTGCTTTGTTTGCCATTTAGGAGGCAAAATTTGAAAAGGAAAGTTGCACTTCTTATATGTAAGGCAGGAAAATCGATGTCACTTGTTTTACAGTACACAGTGTTATATAACACTGCAAATTGCTTGTAAGACGCCTTAATGTTATAATGTAGGAACAGCAAGCTGGCTCCTATAATATTGATCATCCTTCTGGAAATGTAAATGATTTAAATGAACAAATTTAAAAACTGTATAGACCAAGGTGGAGGAGAGCTGTGCAAGTTGATGCCAGAGTCAGTGAGCAACAACAACAGTAATGGATTAATGGTACATCAGCAGGTAAATGTGAGAATATTCAGTAAACCCCTCCCCAAACACGGATTGGTCAATCATAAGTTAGCAACTATGAAAAAATAGCATGGCAGGTTTGTGAGGCTGGATTCCTTCTCATGAGAGCAGCTTTTTTTGTCTTTAAAATATGTCATCATAGGAAAAAGGTGGATTTTCAATGGCCTTTACCTCTATGGGGACAGGTGGACCCAAACCATCTGCATTCATTATGTTTCTCCGCTCATTTATTGAGCTCTTTTTTGTTGCCTGTCTGTAGATTTTTTTGTGTAACATTCTGTATTTATGACCCCTTCTACATCCTCTTATTTTAAAATCAGCCACCTGTAGACATTAAAAAGTCTGCTTGAGGCAGTGTTATCAGCCAACTCGTACAGCTAAAGTTAGCTTAATTAGCTAGCTACTTACAAACCAAATTATTTCAGTAATAAATAGCTGCAGCAAAGGCTATAATAGTAAAAAAATAAAGTACCATTGCTGTTTTATTTTTGTGAATTTAATCCAGTTCTCAGAAATTGTATCATGTCTGTTTTTCATTTCTGTACCCTCTTTTGTACAGAAACCCATGCTCTTCTCTCTTACCCTTCTTTCTCTGGCCTATTAGCATTATGCACTCCTTGTTATTTTTCATCCTTCAAATCACTGAAGAGCACAATAGCCACTAGTTTCAGAATCAGCTTTTCAGTGTCGGCTCAGTTGAAGGTTATTTGACCTTCCAGTACCCTCTCAGCAATCTACTAGTTCCCCTATCTGTCCACTTTTATCCTAGCCAATCCTGAAAAGACTTGACACTGACAAAACCAACAGCTTTCTATATCACTCTGTCTCATGACCTCAAGTAGTGAATTAGCAGAGCTGCAAAACTGGAACACAATTACGTACTACTGTCATTGGTTGAAACCATCTTACATCCACCCTCCTTGGTGTTTGTATCTCTCTGCTTGGAACAAGTGGCTCTTTCATGTTTTTTTTTTTTTTGAATGGGAGCCAGTATCACAGAAAACTGCCTGAAGCCATAAAAGTTAGCTGAGCTGAAACCTTGCATATGTTTTACTCTAATATCTGTGCATTATTTAATTAAACGGGGTTCAATTGATGCTTGTGTGGGCTGGGGCAGAAAAAAGCTTTACCAAGGTAACTAGCTGAGAATCATTTAGTGAGAATGACGCGTGTGACTTGGTGTATTAAACAGCCCTAACAGTGCAAAGAAATAGCGAGCTGATTCCTTTCAGGACATGCACAGAAGCTGGTTTTATTCTTAGTTTACTCTTATGTACTGCAGGCCAGACTCGTTAATCTTGGAAGTGTTTCCTTTTTATTTCAGAATGAGAATCAGCTTTATTGGCCAGGTGTGTTGGACACACAAGGAATTTGACTCTGACGGTCTGGATTCGACGGATCTATATGTACAGTGTATATTTACAGGTGTTGCACTGAGGGTTGTTGACCAGACATACTGTCATTGGTTGAGTGTTCATCAGAGTGATGGCCCAGTGGAAGAAACTGTCCCTGTGCCTGGTTGTCTTGGCGCACAGTGACCTGTAACGCCGTCCAGAGGGGAGGTTTTCAAACAGATTGAGTCTGGGGTGTGAGGGGTCTGCAGGGCTCTTCACTGTCATCTCCACTGTTTTGAGGGTGTCCACTGAAATTTCACCTTTTGTCTTTGCGAAGGAGGATCCCTCCTCTCCACCTCTGAGCTGTTTCCTCAGCCCTGCTTATGCCTTGCCTCATGATGGTGTGAAAATGGGGCTTGTAGCCTTCTCTTGTTTGTCCAGGTAAACAATATAATTACTTTGATTTCAAAGGGGGCAAACCAGCCTTTTGTCATTGAACACTTTCAAGTGGAATGATTAACAGGACGATCAGAAGCTAAATGCTGCGTAGTAGGACTGTATTGTGCCTTCTCAGTTTCTCTAAAGATCATAAACATGAATAAAAGCTTAGAGAGATGGCTTGTTCTTGGCATATTACACACTGCTGTGAAAAAGTATTTGCCCCCTTCCTGGTTTCTTGTTTTTTTTGCATATTTGTCACATTTAATGTTTCAGATCAAACAAATTTAAATATTAGCCAAAGATAACACAAGTAATCAAAATGCAGTTTTTATTTGAGGGAAAAAAGCTATCCGAACCTCCACAGAGGATAACGAGCAGCAGGTAGAAACAATGAATGATAAATGGTGAACCGGGGTAAAGCTGGGGCATGTGAGGTGACACAAGACAGGAAACTAACCAAAATAAAAGCACCAAACAGGAAGCGAGGTCCAAACGGTGACAAAAAGCAACATAGCATATACTCGACAGCAGTATTGACTGATGTACAAAGGAGTTCTTCAATGTGATTCGTTTAAACTGAGGGACTGTAAATCTTCTGTTAGAAGGCAAAAGTTGATATTCTCCACTTAGGACATGTGAGGAGTCAGAAGAGATATTTTTGGCAAGTCTAAGCATGCTTTTTTGATGAGCTGCTAGAAAAAAAATGCTTCTAGAGGTTGGCCTTTTATCTGTGAACAGATACAGATCTGATTGAACAGCTTATCACAAGTCGGGCATTTAAAATTCCGGCTTCTGCCAGTGAATCAGGAATAAGCTTGACAATTCGGTCAACACAGCCTGGCACAGCATGAAGGAAGTCAATTCATAATGAGTTCTCAGAGGCGGAGTCTACCTCCAGCGGAGTCTAATATTCCTCCTGTGGATTTGTTGACACTTCTCAAAGTAACTTAAATTGAAGGGTTGTGATTTATGTAAGACTGTCAGGTCAGATTGACTTAGCCTCTGCTCTCGTGTCATTAGAAAGTACAGCTCTCCAGTGAGTTGTGCCCACCACTGTGGTTTAGCTTTGACAGAGAAGAGAGAAGGATATAGCAGCACAAGTGACACTTCCAACTGTCTGTAGAACATCACATGGCCTTAAAAGTGGGTTCTTCTAGAGAAGAGACTTTAGTAGGATAGCCTAGAGGTGTTTCAAATTGGATATAAACCACAGCAAGATGGGTGGTGTGGAGTCTGCTAACATGGAAATGAAGATCTATAATCTGTATGTGGTATGTTTCATAACAGCTGTGCTATGAATAGTGTCTAGTTGCAAATTGGGTTTGACAGGACCAGTGGGATCTTTAGAGAGTAAGTTACTGCCTGCCTGTGAATGGCAAATATTAGCCAGATAAGGACATATTCTTGTTAGTAATAGTATTTATATTAGCATTGAAGTGGTCAGTCTTTCCTAGAAATGAGGACTTGTCATTGAAAGAAGAAAATAGCTTTCGATGTTAATGTAATTTGAGCCATTCACCACCCCCAGCTTCAACATGAATGTCTTTAGTTATTAGAAGTTGATGCAACACCAAAAAGCAAAGCAGACTAGAGTCAGTAGTCTGGCATGTAGTCACGTGAAAACCTTGTTTGCCCTGGTTTATCAGGGGGACAGAAAGGTAGAAGGCCTGGCCGACTATAATTGGAATGTTGTTAGAATAAGTAGTTGTGCTGCAGTGGAGGCCTGTGCAGGTCCCTGCCTTAGAGCACGAACACTTTGTCACACCCAGTAGCTTCCAAATTATGATAGATGTGGCACAGACACTGTTGTTCAATTAAAGCATGAAATTTAACGTTCTCTTAATGAGCTGCTCATGCAATTAATTAACTTCAGAGGTCATTAGTCAATAGCAGAAAAGCTAAAATGATTGCATTCACTTGCTTTAACGTTGTGCCTACACCAGGAGCGTAGCACGAGCCCGCACATTAACAGAGCGGCAGAAGCTCCGGTGCTCCCAGTATACAATCACTGTGGTTACATGCGAAAAGTGCAGAGAAATAGACTAGAATCAGTTTGAAAAAATACTTTTTGAAAAATAACGAGGCAAAACTCAAGCCATTACACCACCTGTAGAGAGTTGGATTGATTGAAATAGGAGTGTATCTCTCACATGAGATGGACAACTCAAAAACAGCTTAAATGCTTTTTATACAAA